ATATATATATTATTTTTTTTTTAGATCCAGTTATGAAAAGAAAATACTGTGTGAATCCACAATCTTAAAAATACTGTGATTTTAAGATTTTTAGTTATACCACTCAGCATTCCACTATAAAGCGGAATTGATGTTATCTAGTGGAGTGGGTACATTTGTTCCTGAAAAGCTTGTTTGTTTTGTTCTGTCATGTGTCTTTTTGTGTATGCTTACTTCCTGTAACGTGTCATCGGCTGCACTGCATCACTGCAGATGGTTGCACACAAAAACACACTTGTGTTTGCAAAGACGGCATCTCAGGAAATCTTTAAATTATCAGAAGATAGCGGCTCAGACTCTGACAGTTTCTTAAGGTGAAGTATTTTCTGCACCACTTGCATCAGCAACATGAAATTGCAAAAATTATTCTTCGAACACTCCCCTTGTATTCCATGGGTTGGTCAAACAGAGTCCTGTGACTCCCACCCAGATTCACACCATTGATTGAGCCAGGATGCTCAAACAAATGGAGCAATATTTTGCCTATAAATGAGCGGAGGTTAACTCCCCAAATTCATTGCTCACTGATGTTGAACATGTGCTCATGTCACACCTCCGGCTGTTAAAAACAAATGCATAAGGTGCATTCATGGTTTTGGGTTCTGCATCCACAGGCTTGTAAATTGGATTTAGGTCTAAGAACAGAGTTTTATGGTCGTATTTGATTTTAATTGGGGTCAAAAGTAAAGGGTGGTACTGACGGCACATCATTTTCTGTTAGGTGCACCAGTTTGAATGTTTAATCTTTTGCTGCTCTCATTCTCATATTGCTTCCCGCTGTTGTTTTAATAACAGTGATCCTCAGATGAGTGTAGCCAATTCACCATGTGCCATCTGCATTATTTATCAGCACAACTATTAATTATTTATTGAGCACTGTCATGAATGGGGCTGTTGTGTTTACACATGGGGAGTCATTTCACTGAGAAGAGCATTGTGTGGTTCTAGATGCAGTCAAGCTGGATCTTATTCTTAAGCTTGCATGCACAAGGGACAATGCTTGGTTTACTTTTTTATATATGTGACTCTGTGTATGTTTATATATTTATAATAGTTTAGTTTATATTATATAATATAATATAATAAAACCCACCCTCTATCACACATACAGCTAACACTTGCAGGTCTCGCTTCCTCAATGTTTCTTCATCACTTTCAGCATAGACATTTTATGTTTAACCTCTCTAGTGTCTATCTTCCTTTTTTCACTTTTTTTTTTTTTTTTGGCTCTCTCACACACACAGACCTTTAAAAATAGTTTCAAGCTTTTAGCCTTGACCTCTTTGTTTAGTATGCCACAGAAATGTTCAGTAGGTGAAAGCCGTGTTGTGTTAGTGCTAATGTCAAATACGTGGAACAGGTAAACCAGCTCTGTAAAGGGAAACTCCTTTTAAAGGGTGTACGTTGTTAATCTTCTTAAACAATTAGTCTGTTTAGGTGAAACGTTTCTGTTGTCAAGATATGTTTCGACTTACTGACTTCACTGATGATGATTTTACACGATGTACTCTCACCTTGCCCAGATTGTTCTGAGAAAACAAGCAGGTATAAGGGTGTTTGTTTTTTTTGTTGTTTTTTTTAGGAATCGTTCACCCATAAATGACAATGCAGTCTTTTTCATTTGAAATTTCACTTTTGGTTTTGATTGATTGCGGTTTATTTATATGGAACTTATGGATTGTGATTTTGACCACCATTTTTATTAGAATTTTCCAAATTGTTGGACAGTCGTAATAACGGTTAATAGGTTCATAACTTTGACTAATTTGATGTGAATAAGAATTTGGTGAAAGTTCATAAGGTTTATAAGTTGTGTGGATACCACGAAAGTTTTCTTTTTTTCTTCCATGCTCTAAATTAGTTGCAAACTGTATTATCTTAAGCCAGTTAAAGTGTGGTCTGTAATAGACTTAGCGCGTGTG